TTGGTTTTTCTCCGGTACCGGGAACCGAACTCACGACCTTGCGCTTGCCAGGCAGGCGCTTTGCCGCTGAGCTAAATCCCCAGCCCCAACGTAATATAATTTTCTTTCTTTTTTTTTTTTTGGTCTTTTTGAGACAGGGTCTCGCTATGCAGTTCGGGCTGGCCATGAGCTCACTTTGTAGCCCAGACTGGTCTTGAACTCACAATATCCTCCTGCCACAGCCTCCCGAGCGCTGGGGTTACAGGCGTGCACCACTGTGCCCAGCTTGACAGTACTATTTTCTGGTAATCTTTTCATAACCTTGTAAAAGGTGGGCAGAGAATTATCCCACTACTCTGAAAGAGAAAACTGACCTTGAAAGCTTTAAGAAAAATGTAATCCAGTAATCATATGAGTAGCCACAGAATGGGGATTATAATCAGATCCAGTGTCCTTTTTCCTTCTATCACCTTGGCACATACCAAAATGCAATGTACTGCCTAAACATAGCCAAAATAAAGTTTTAAAAGACAAAAAGCCACTCGGTCCCTTGCTGCCACTGCTACCTTCTTATGTGAGTAAAGAGAACGAATACCTGAAGAGCAATAGTACAGTTCTACAAGCTAGAACTCCCCATCATCCAAAAATCCAGCCAGACTTCTAGTAATTTCAAGCTAAGAACATAACTAAATTTAAGACATAAAACCAAGAACAAAACAAAAAAACTCAAAGCTCAGACTAGCTCAATTTGCAAATACAAAAAGCCAAGACTGAAGATGCATCCACCTTTGGTGATATATGCCTGTAATCCCCTACTAAGGAGGCTGAGGCAGGAGAATTGCACACTCAAGGCCAGACTGGACAACTTAGTGAGATCCTGTCTCAAAATTTAAAAATATCTTAAAAAGCTGGGGATACAGTTCAGCAGTAGAGTGCTTGCTTAACATGGACCAGGCCCTGGCTTCAACTCTGGTACCACAACACAAACACAGACTCTGAAAGACTTTATAGCTCATGTGGAATCTTAACTTTGATTATAATATCTATACTAAGCTTAGATTTCAGGTACTCGATAAATTAAAAGCACCAATATGCAAAGGGGAGACAATGCCTGGATGTTGGAGGTATCCTGACAAGAAAGAGATAGGAAAACAACCACAGGAACTGTATTAGCACACAGATTAGTAACAAAAGACCACGGTGCTGATTTTGAAGTACTAAGAACAGACTAAATGATACCATCTGACAAGGCCTGCAGATATATGATATACTTCAGCAGAACTTTACTGAACACCTACTTTGTGCTAGGCCTATGCTGGATACAATCTGAAAAACTTATT